TATATATATAAACATAAGAATATCTATGTATAATAGTTTAAGATAAATATTTACTGGACTGAAGCAAATTAGGTTTACTTGATTATCCATGGAGCATTTTTTTGAAAAATCATGTTAAAATGAGTATCAAATATGATACATCAGACTTTTGAGGAAGGTTTATTTGTACATCTCTCAATCGTTGTATTGCATTATATGTTCTGCTAACCACAATTAAAACTATGGCGTTTTGTTCACAAAACAAATTAAATATCATCTTACTAAGACATATTATTGGAAGATTATAGAGTAACAACTGATATTTTTATGTATAATCTTCTACACTGTTATAAAAATCTAATTTATGTACATTACAAGCTATCAGAATATCACCTTACTTTTTGGCCAAATATACAGTGTAACAACATCTGCATCAAATTACATGTTTTTAGAGAATTGTACTTAGAGAATTATACATTTACTGTTTTCCTGTTACAATATTATTCAGGTTATTACTGAATTTATAAATATTAATAATTAATATTATTCTTATTCATATTACTGAAGTTATACTGTGCATTTTATTCCTAAATGCATGTAATTTCAACTGCTTATTAAAATCTACTGCTTTCTCATCACATATAATAAAAAGGCAATTCATGTTGCTCCTCATTATAAGATTATAAATTACTTTTGTGATATGTTGATTTTTGCAAATTGACCAGGTCATGAAGAGCAAAGTTGTATTGTGTTCACATACCACTAAACCACGGGACAAGCTGAGTGGATAGTTCTTCCTAATATGTGTTATTCAACATATTTGATCATTTGTAGCAGTGTAGAGATGTTTTACCATGTATTCCATATTTGAAGCCGGTGGATAGACCTGACCCCGGAGTTTGTTGTGGAGGTCCAGGATTGCTTGCATGTCATTAGCAGTGATGGCCCTCTTGCTTCTCTGTCTCTCCACCATCCAGTCTCCATCATCATCCAGGTACTTCTCCAAGAGAATGCCGAGATCTGTGGCATTAAACAGCACCATGGCAAACACACTCTGGGTCACCAGCAGGACAGAGAGACCCCTCAGTAATGCAGAGGTTAAGTGACACATGGTGGATGAGTTCTGATGATGACGTCTGAGTGTCTTCAGGTAACTGAAGAGAAGAGGAAGCCAATAAAGCTGATAAATAAAACAGGTACAACAAAAAGAAGGGTTGCCTTGGAAGAAAAAGATGGAAAATTCGACCAAGATTTTGTTTACATATTTAATATTATGAGTATATTACTAGGAACATAATTTTGCAGATGAAGGGAGGGTACAAATAATACACTTTTGCATTTAAAACTATAATGGGTGTGAGAAGAGCCGTGGGAACAGAGCGAGGCCGGTGGAGTAAGTGATAATGAGCGACACCTGCGCCACTCACCGGTCTCGAGTCTCACGGAGGAGCTCCGGAAGGATACAAAGGAGGAGGGACGACAGGGAAAGACGAGAGAGGACCAGGCCTGGATTTTATTTTGTGTTTTGGTTTTGTTTGTGCGCGGCAGTCGTCCGCGAGGGGCTGTCGCGCTATTTTGTGTTTATTTTATTATTAAAGTTTCTTTGAGTGTTCGCCAGTTCCTGCCTCCTTCTTCCCGACTTATGAACTTTGTTACAATGGGAAGTAGACTCACAAAGAACCGAATCGATTCAGCACTTATTTTACGTCATGATGTACCCACGTCGTCACGTTGTCCCTGGTATTCTGCCTTTCTTTTTGTTATTAGACCTAATTTACCTGTACCCTAAATACCGGTATTATAATACAATTATGTATGTATTGTATTAAGTACAGTGGGGAAAAAAAGTATTTAGTCAGCCACCAATTGTGCAAGTTCTCCCACTTAAAAAGATGAGAGAGGCCTGTAATTTTCATCATAGGTATACCTCAACTATGAGAGACAAAATGAGAAAAAAAAAATCCAGAAAATCACATTGTAGGATTTTTAAAGAATTTAACAATGTGATTTTCTGGATTTTTTTTCTCATTTTGTCTCTCATAGTTGAGGTACACCTATGATGAAAATTACAGGCCTCTCTCATCTTTTTAAGTGGGAGAACTTGCACAATTGGTGGCTGACTAAATACTTTTTTGCCCCACTGTATATTAATTTTATTTAGTCATATAAGTATTCAAGTGCAGTTGTTGCAGCCTAATTTAAAAGCTAATTTTGTTATTAGACCTAATTTACCTGTACCCTAAATACCTGTATTATAATACATGTATGTTTTGCTTTAAGTATATTAATTTTATTTAGTCATATAAGTATTCAAGTGCAGTTGTTGCAGCCTAATTTAAAAGCTAATTTTGTTATTAGACCTAATTTACCTGTACCCTAAATACCTGTATTATAATACATGTATGTTTTGCTTTAAGTATATTAATTTTATTTAGTCATATAAGTATTCAAGTGCAGTTGTTGCAGCCTAATTTAAAAGCTAATTTTGTTATTAGACCTAATTTACCTGTACCCTAAATACCTGTATTATAATACATGTATGTTTTGCTTTAAGTATATTAATTTTATTTAGTCATATAATATTCAAGTGCAGTTGTTGCAGCCTAATTTAAAAGCTAATCCAACTATATGCTTTTATTCAGCTAATAAAAACATAACGTTTAACCCAAACCTAAATATAATTAGTTCACTTTAAACAACAGGAAAAAAACATCTCGTCTATTTACTAAAACTGACTCTGTTTCGTAGCCTATGTACTGATAAAACTGCAATACAATCAATTAAATACATATCTTTACTGTGTTTTTTTTATTTCTGATATTCAGCTTTTAGTAACTTAATTACTTCTCAGCCTATTAGTTAAATCGGTTCACTACAAAGATTCTCTTACAATGAGCTCTCAGCTCAATACGATTTCGACAAATTCGAAAGACACGGTTCTCGGTTCATTGAGTCAGCTGAGTTGACCGAATCGATTCATTTAAAAGATCCGATTCAAAAGAACTATTCGTTCACGAATACGAGACTACTATTACAATGAGCCAAAATGAGAGCAATGGAATGAAACTCAACGCAGAGATCTTGACAAGCTTAAAAACTATGTTAAATTACAACTCAACGTCAAATAGCCTACTGTAGCCTACGAGTAGACCAACCATTAAAATATAGCGCAGAATTAATGCAGCGCTACCTAAGATGACACACACAATAGGCTATCCTAAAGAACAAATACTGAAATAGGTCATCTGCTGAGGTCCCATACACTTTGACATTTGTTAAGTATTCAGAGATGTTCTTCAGCTTAGAACTGATGTAACATGTGGCTATTTCACATACCTTTCTGTCAGATTGCACCAGCCTGGTGATCAGAATGGATAGCTGTGTGAAGAGACCAGGACTCTCCACAACTGTAATAGAAATGCCAAGGTACTCCGTGTACCAGCAGGAGGCCGCCACAAAACACTACAGTAATTCATAAGACACAGTCGGTATAGACTAGAGTCACAGCTGCTGCATGTTTAAAGGGACGGTTCACAGAAAAATGAAACACTTCTGCCATCATTTACTCACCCTCAAGTTGTTCCAAATCTGTGTGAGTTTCTTTCATCTGCTGAGCACAAAAGAAGATATTTTGAAGAATGTTGGTTACCAAACAGTTGAAAGTAGCCATTGACTTCAAAGTATAGTTCACTCTTTTTATATCTGGCTCCCTCTGTTGGGCAGCCAAATCCTCGCTTTCTTCCCAAGTGTACATGTGCTTTAAGGCTGATGAGACAGATAAGTATTTAAGTTAGTGTCTTGAGTATATTTACTTTCCAATAAACTGGTTGAACCCAGAAGCACAAGACCAAAAACAGCTCAACGTCTCCCTCTACTGTTATAGGTGGAATTATTTCAACACATAGTGGGTTCATACTGTTGTTACTTCCATCAGGCACTAGTGTATCACCATAATAATAATGCACCCCCCCACACACTGTTATTTTTGATACCTTTATAATGTATTCACATTTTTCAAAATATACAATGCATAATTAATTATCATTATTACACTAATTTACAGTCCCAAGTATACAAAAGAAGTGCAGTTCAGGGTTTCAGCTTTGTAGTAGTAGTAGTATTTTAAATTCTGAGATGAAGTACAGTAAGACACAGTCAGTATAGAGTCACAGCTGCTGCATGTTTAAAGTTTTAGCATTCTGAAAAAGAAAAGTTTTTATTATTTAAATTTATGACATAACATAAAGAAGCTTTCATATGCACTAGTTCACTAAAAAATATGCACATTTGTGACCATGTGAACTACTTTGTACAAAAATTTAAAAAATCAATCAATAAATAAAAATGTCTTGCTTCGATTTGGACTTGATCTATTCTTGGATTTTTGAAGACAGTAAATGTTTCTCAAATGAGCTTTTTTATTGCATTGTGTGGTGAATTCACCAGTAGATGGCAATCTAATCTAATCTTTGTCCTAATGCAGCTCCACTCTGCTAATTGTCTTGAAAATGCCTTTCAACGTCAAGCCAGGTACGACATTTTAAGTCACCAGGTTTGAATGTGCAGTAGAAATACACAGAGTCAATGATAAAATATTCATACACACACATTCATATATATATATATATAAACCGGCATAAGGAAAGTGACGAATAGCCTCTTTGTTTACATCATTGCAGAATTTTGCCTGGGAGATTCTGCAAGTGCTTGTTCAAAAAAGCAGGAGTAAATAAGACAATGCAATGCACATTTCCCGAAAAGGTCTGTTGTCATGCATACATTCTGCAGAGATTATAATCTCAGAGATTATAATATAGATGTATGATAAACATATGTAAAAATCTGTGTCTGTGTTCATTTCAACCAGCACTAGTAATTTGATTTCACAGCAGGAAAACACTGAAATCTTCCTACATAGTTGGGACGGGAACATGGAATAAGGTGCATCTCATTTATATTTATATGGAGCACATCCTACTGTGTTCCTTCTGTAAACAACCACAGCAACATCATCACTGTCAACAGTGTTGCTTTGGGAATCAAATACACTTGTTTCAGGTTCTTGATAATACTCTTAAGATTAGCTTCCTATCTGGACAAACAAACTTATTGTAGGCTAATGTCAGAGAAGTGATATGCTGAGAACTGGTTGTCAGACATTTACTAAATAAACCTTTTGAAATTCCCTTTGACATACATCTTTGAAAATATCATTTTTAATATTATTATATAAATTCATTATTTTGCTTGATCATTTTATTGATCAAAATTGACAATCAAGACATTTGTAATTTTAAATTTTTATCTGAAAAAAAAAATGCTGTTCTTTGAACCTATCATCAGCTCATAAAAATGGCTCCACAATTGTTTTTAACACTGATAATAGTATGTTTCTTTAGCACCAAATCAGCATATTAAAAATAAATTCTGAAGGATCATGTGACACTGACGACTGAAGTAATGGGCTTCTGATAATTCAGTTTTGCCAACACAGAAATTAAACACATTTGAAAAATAACTTAAATTGAAGTAATATTTCACAATGTAAGTATAAACAAAACAGTTTACATTAAAGTGACTCATTTCAAAGGCATTTAACAAATGTACAGACCCCCAAACTTTCTAAAAAAAAGAAGAAACAGAAAAACATTTTAAAAAAAAAAATTATTTAATAATCAGTAGTAACTTAAAGGCATGGCACAGTTGGTCATGCGATCAACATTAATGTACAAACCTTTATAAAGAGACTGTGATGTTCTGACCCAAAGACCCATAAAGACTGGGAGGAGTGTGTCCCTAAATGCAAGTGGATGTCCACTACTCAACTGTCTCCGTTATATAGTTGTCCCAGAGCTGAAAGACAAAATACACTGCTATCCATACTTCTAATTGAAAACTGTAGAGTAACTTTATCTTTCCCCAGACATTAACAAAGACTTGATTGTTCATTGACTTCACTGACCTAATTTTCTATAAAAATTTCAGAAAATCTACCTTAGTCATATAAAAAATATATAAATGCCAAAATAATCCATCATGGTTCTGTTGAAACATTCTGATAGTACAAAGTATTTCTGTTCAAACAAATATATTTCAACAGTTTGAAACTTAAAATGTTTCAAAGTCTTCCTGACTGCATCATACTTTAAAACAGTGCCTTATCATATATTTTACATGACAGCCCCACAACATTACTGCTCTAGAGGAGATCTGGATGGAGGAATGGGCCAAAATACCAGCAACTGTGTGTGAAAACCTTGTGAAGACTTACAGAAAACGTTTGACCTCTGTCATTGCCAACAAAGGGTATATAACAAAGTATTGAGATGAAATTTTGTTATTGACCAAATACTTATTTTCCACCATAATTTGCAAATAAATTCTTTAAAAATCCTACAATGTGATTTTCTGGATTTTTTTTTTCTCATTTTGTCTCTCATAGTTGAGGTATACCTATGATGAAAATTACAGGCCTCTCTCGTCTTTTTAAGTGGGAGAACTTGCACAATTGGTGGCTGACTAAACACTTTTTTTCCCCACTGTATATGTTTGTGTGGGAAACACTTGACTCTATTACAGAAATATAATAGAGTATTCTTATTATAAATCTGCGTATTCTGAGAAATATATGTTTTGGGAAGGTTTGCAGCATTGGTGAGACATTTTGGAGGCAGCATAAGTGAAATTGCTGGCAGAGATGAAGAGGCAGTGGGACTGAAGGCTGTCAGTGCACTTGCTCCACAGCATATACACAAGAGCAGAATGTTGATAGCCAAGCGGTTTTCTTTCATGACTGACATCCCAGCATATCGCATGAAATCAGGGCTATCTCTTTTACAGAAATTCTGTATAAAATAATTAAAATCCTATAATATATAAAAGCCTATAATATATAATAAAAACGACAACAGATAAAAGTTATTTAAACTCATAAGTGAATAGCCCAAACAACCATACAGTTACTATATAATACAGTTACTATACAGTATAATATGTACACTATATAATATATACTTTTTATGTTTTATATATGTTGTCATGTTTTAAGACATATTTTGTTGTCTGTGGGAATAATTTCAGGCAAAATTGTGTCTGAGCAAACCTGGAATGATTATTCAAGCCAGAACAATCAGATACTGGATACTAGATTCAATCGGCAAAATACAAGATCATCTACCCTTGATCACAAACAGACTGAAAGAAAGGCACAACAATGAATAATACAGAGAATAAATAACAGTGCCAACAGTAAGGATTCGTGCCTCTTCGTTTTTGAGCATCTCATAGATTCCTTTAGGACTCAGAAAATTATGACTTTTTTTAGACTGAACTTTCTGTGATTTCAAAAGTTTAAAATATACGTACATTTAAAAAACGAGACACTGCGTCCTCTAGGTTTCTTGCCATGCTGCGGACGCAAGCTTCAGACGAAGAAGTGAATGATGTGTAGCTCCCGGCGCCGATTTATACTGTAGTCGCACCGGTAGTGACGTCATGGCTGTCGCCGGCCAACGAGTTGGTGTTTTTTCAATGTATGCTTCAGACACGGGTCACGACGAGGCGTTCCCCATAGCGACCCCTAGAGGACGCAGTGTCTCGTTCCCTACTCAGGGAACCATGGTTACATAAGTAACCTGAGACGTTTTCTTTCATGACTGACATCCCAGCATATCGCATGAAATCAGGGCTATCTCTTTTACAGAAATTCTGTATAAAATAATTAAAATCCTATAATATATAAAAGCCTATAATATATAATAAAAACGACAACAGATAAAAGTCATTTAAACTCATAAGTGAATAGGCCAAACAACCATACAGTTACTATATAATACAGTTACTATACAGTATAATATGTACATTATATAATATATACTTTTTATGTTTTATATATGTTGTCATGTTTTAAGACATATTTTGTTGTCTGTGGGAATAATTTCAGGCAAAATTGTGTCTGAGCAAACCTGGAATGATTATTCAAGCCAGAACAATCAGATACTGGATACTAGATTCAATCGGCAAAACACAAGATCATCTACCCTTGATCACAAATAGACTGAAAGAAAGGCACAACAATGAATAATACAGAGAATAAATAACAGTGCCAACAGTAAGGATTCGTGCCTCTTCATTTTTGAGCATCTCATAGATTCCTTTAGGACTCAGAAAATTATGACTTTTTTTAGACTGAACTTTCTGTGATTTCAAAAGTTTAAAATATACGTACATTTAAAAATTCTTACAATAACACTTTTACACAATAAATTTAAAGTTAACTTCAGCTGGAACATACAGATTAGTTTTAGGTTGTGTTGAGCAATATGTCTACTGATCTATCAGTCCTATTGTTAATTTTTTTTTAAAGTTTATATTGTAATGTATGAAGTTAGAAGATTCCTTGAATAATGTACAAAAATGACAGATAATTTCTTTTATATAAACATGATTGTTTTATATAAAAAGTAACATCGACAACATAATTATTTTGAAAACAAATCAGACTTGAACCAAATCGAGAAATCTGTATCATCACCCACGCAAGTAATAAGTCTTGCCATTTAATTGTTCGCCTCAGTTTTTAGTCACTACCATTTTGCATGAAAAAAGATATGTTGTGTGTGGTCTAAAGAAACATATCAGTGCACCAGAGTAAAGTCAATGGAAAGTCCCCACTACAATAGAAAAACAATGTTGGGAAAGTGTACAGTACAGTATGTGTTTCAGTAAGCCATAATTCTAAAGGTTCTTGAGGAAAGCAGCAGAAATTTTATTAGAAAACGTTTATGCTACATGAAAACCAGGAGCCAAGAGCATAAAAAACACACATAATTAATAAACACTGCCTTTACATTCATCACTCTGACAAAGAGACACTCTCAACCAATCAGCTTTCACTCATTATGACATCATGGAATTTGGAATTCCTGGTCACACAGAGTCAGTTAAGAAATAAACTACAAGGACTTCAAGTAAGTGGAAAGTGTGAACAAACATTTCTACAATATCAAATCAAGTCTTCTGCAGATGTGTCATCATCTATAGAAAGCAGAGACCATGACAGATGACAGAAGAGTCGCCAACAAGTAAGATTTTAAAGGAAAGCAAAAATTATATATACTTTAGTTAACCTGTGAGAAAAGTAAAAAGCATAGTTATATGTATAGTTGCCAGATAAGTTATGTTATTTTCAAAGTGAACCATATTTACATTAACACACACATCAACGTGTAAAGCAACATCTCTGCAATATCAACTCAATCCTTCTGCAAGCATGTCATTGTCTTCAGAAAGAGGAGACCATGACAGATGACAAGTCACCCAAAACTACGATTTTAAATGAAAGCAAAAAACAAAACAAAAAACAGTTAAATAAGATTATTTTAAGTATACTTGTCAGAAAAGTTATTTTCTTACAAATTTAAATGAATTCTTAAATTAGTAAGCATATTTACATTAATGCCAGGGAAGCAGGGAGGCTCTGTCTCATTGTTTTAGTTAAACTATGAGATAAGAAAAGTTTTAAGAAAGTTTTTAAGTACAGTTGCCAAATATGTTACTGTCAAAGTGAATCCTTAAATTTGTAAATCACATTTGCATTTATGCACACACACCAGCGTATGAAACAACGTCTCTACAATATCAAATCAAGACTTTTGCAGGTATGTGATTATCTTCAGAAAGAAGAAACCACGATAGATGACAGAAAAGTCACCAACAAGTAAGATTTTAAATAACTAAAGATTCAAGTGTGCCGCACTCTGGCTGGAAGCGCAAGCCATGGACCAAGATCACAACTCTGCACATTGCACACCTTGGCCACCTGGAAAATTTGGGCAAGGCTGTCAGTTCAGCCCAGGGGAAACACTTGGAGTTAGGACTAGGGTGTGTCCTGTAAGTAGTGGTGTGTGGGACACAGGGCACACCCAAGGTTGCCAAAAATACGACAAAAATTATTTTTTGGAAAAGAAAATCCAAACCAATTTTCTAACAAAAGTGAATTTTAAATGAATTAAGCAAATTGTACAAAACTATTTCAAACAACAAAGCAAAAACAAATCCTTAAATATAATTAAGATAATAATAACAGATAAAAACACATTTTCCAGTGACAAAGCAAAACTACTGGTTGGAAAAAATTTCTGCAAATTGGCCTTTTGTACCAATCAATTTGCTAACAAATATGAATTTGAAGTAAATTAAGCAATTTGTATAAAAGCCTTATCAAACAACAAAGCAAAAAAAATAATAAAAAATGTAGCAAATTGGCCTTTTGTCGGATTGGTTCCTAGCTCCTGTGCAGAACTCTAGGTGGGATAGGCCAGCTAATTGCCCATAGCGCAGTCTCTCATTGTCTGCATCCAGGACACCTGTAAGTACCTGTGCAATTAGGGAGAGGCCACCCTTACAGGCTAGGGAAGATCTGTCTCAGCCCTCTGGGTGGGATGGCAAGCCATAGACCAAGAGCACAACTCGGACTAGGGTGTGTCCTGTAAGGTCGTGGTAGGTGGGACACAGGGCGCACCCTAGGTTGCCAAAAAAAAACACAAAAGAAATATTTTGCAAAAGAAAATCCCAACCAATTTGTTAACAAATATGAGTTTGAAATCAACAAAGCAAACTGTACAAAAACCATATCAAATGTAGCGAATCAGCTCATAAGGGAAATATGAATGATTAATCATAACTAGTTATAATTAATTATAAATATTTAGATCCACTGTAGATCTTTACTTGACCTCTCAGGGTCAACTGTCTGTCAATTCTAAGAACGTTAATTTCCTGGTTAAGGGAAAGAACTTTCTTACTGTACAATTCTACAAAGAGCTTGTAGCACAAATCTGCATGATTAAGTGACTCCAGTTATGAGCAAACAATGAACAACGTCAAGTGTGATACAAGTAAGACTTTATTAACTACATAAACACTTAAACTAGTCTAACGAAATTCCAAGCGGGAGGTGGCAATTGCTGGAGGGTTTTACGACCCTTTGTCTCTAAGCATGGTATTTCGCATATGTAATTTGCTTGGATGTTGATGAAAGATTACTAAAGGTTCTTAGAACACTAATATGTTGCATAGGTATAAACATACAATATACACTCTCAATTAGATCATCCGAATACGAATTCATAGAGACCAAACATGGTATATGTAAGGTTACATGAATGAGTGGTTCTTTCATAAGCATGCATAAAATAGTCTACAATACAACAGATAATATACAAGACAGCAATAATATACACAATGACCTGAAGGATATGTGTGTTCATTCAAAGAAAGGTTTTCCTATTAATTAATTAGAGAAGAGTACATTTTTCACTGTGCACTGTGGATTTCCTATGGCAATTGTAGTGAGAGGGGTGACTCTCAACATGCCATTAGGTCGTAAAATCTATCTGGTCTAGCAGAGGTGTCAGGGTTGCCATGGTAACCAGGGTCCCGGGCCTCGTTCACAGACATTTTGGCACCCAGTATGTTTATTGGGTGAGGGGTCTGTGAATGTTTGTTAATCTAATGAATAATTGATTTGTTAACTCAAATGACAAATGGTGTGTCTGATTGGTCCAGACGCTACACAAACAACAAGTCCAAAAAAACAAAAACTGTGGCAAATTGGCCATATTTTTTGGATTGGTTCCTAGCTCTGGTGCAGAACTCTGGGCGGGACAGACCAGCTATGTGCCTATAGTGCAGACTTTCATAGTCTGCATCCAGAAAACCTGTAAGTACCTGTGCAATTAGGGAGAGGGCACTCTTATAGGCCAGGGAAGAAGGGAAGCTCTGGCGCAGT